AAATAAGTATATATGTTAAAAACTAGTATCTTTATTTATGAACAAAAAATATAATTACACTAATTCGAATTTTAATGATTAAATACAATAAAATACAAAAATAAAAACAATATTGTAAATAAAATACGCAACTAATGTAGCTTAAACTGTTAAAAATTATAAACAAGCTTGCGGGCTTGTAAGTTTTCGTTGCTCACCAAGGAGCAAAAGCATATAAACAAAATGTTGAGAACTGAACTCTTTTTAAAAAGTAGCATAAAAAAATAAAAATAGTTGTTAATGGATAAAAACTTCATTAATTAAAAAAGTATATATTTTTCATTAATAGAAAACAACTATTTTTTGATTAATGGAAGAAAATATTTGTCTCAAGCAGAATGAAAAAGAGCACACCGCTTCTCACATGTAGAATAAAAAGAGTGCGAAAATTCATTTAGCATTTGGAAACTAAAACGAACTAATTATTGCTATAGGGAGAAAGTTTGAAAAAAAAAACCAGAAAATATTGGAAAAAGCTCTCATGTTGCCTTAAAATATTAGACTGATTTTTTCTACACTTAACTGTAATACATAAGCAGAAATAAATATAAAAGAAAACAATAAAAAAATTAAAGCGTAAAAAAAGTAAATTTGGAGAACACACTAAATAATAATTAAAGCAGGCGTGCAAAACTACACCGAAGTACCGGAGGAGAAGAAGAAACGAAAAATAATATAGAGAAATTTTAAATCAAGCAAACGCTGAAATATTAAAAAAAATTGCATGAAAGTTTAAACAAATGGTTGCAAATTGTTTTTGCGGGCCAAAAAAAAAAGCAGTTACGAAATACAAATTACCCAGAAGTTTACGTAATATTTAATAAATAGTTGAATTTTGTTGTTAAATTACATATGTATGCTGTATAAAAATATTAACTGTTGAATTAAGCAAACTAAAATTTTGAAAATATTGTAATTATCAAGTAACTGAGCAAAGAGTGTACAAAAAAAAAAAACTTACGAGAAATGTAAATTGTGTGCAGAAGTTGTAAAAAGGAACGTATTCAGGCATGCGCAGTTCATTCTCAAAACGTTTCAAATATTTTTCAAAAAATTGGGCCAGCTAAACATTTTTTTGGTTTGAAGTCAATTTTTCTGGTGTTTAAAATATTCAGACATTTCAGATATTTGCCCGTTTTGGGACAGGCAAAAATTTTGGGACACTTTTTGGGACAACATATTTTGGTTGCGAATAAGTTTTACTTGCGTTTAAAACATTTCAGACACTTTCCTAATAATATTTCGCCATTTTGGGAAAAGCAAAAATTTTGCGACACTTTTTGGGACAACATGTTTTTATTGCGAGTAGGTTTTGCTTCCAGCTAAAATACTTCATGCACTTTTCTAAAGATATTTGCTCGTTTTGGGACAAGAAAAAATTATGCGACAACTTATTTTGATTGATAATAATTGTGTCACGTATCTAAAACATTTCAGTCCACTTTGTTTTTCACGTACATACATACATACATATGTACGATGTATGCCTGAAAACGTTTTTGATACTCGCAAAATATCTTTTCGGCCAGTTTTCGGTTCAGCGCTTCTTTTAGTGTAATTACGAGATAATCCATAAATAAATTAGGTATGTGTAATGCAAGAATTCGTATGGAAGATTAACCCTAATATTAACCCATTAACTACCAACTTGTATATGCCCTTGAAAAATTTACTTACATAATAATATGTTATTCACAACAATTCATTAGATGTATATAAATATGTATGCTGATATAAATAAATTTATGTACTTGTACGCGTTTACATACACACAAATGTATGCCAACTCTTGAATATCCTTGGAAAATATATACATACATACAAAGACGAATATTRCTAAAATTGTTAAAAATTAAAATTAATACAAAAACCCAAACAGATTCCACAAATTATTGTACTTTATTACATACATACATACTTATACCTACATACATACATATAGTATATTATAGACATATTAAACTGATATTTTTCCAAATAATATATAGCCTATCCTATACCGCTAACTAATATGTTTATAAGAATTATAACCAGAAATTCAAAAAAAAAAAATTAAAAACAGCAATTTAGAAACGAAATTTTAGTACTGAAATGTACAATTTACAAATGAATAAAAT